AATGAAGCTGAAATCTCTATGGTTTCTCAAAAAAATATTCTTGCTGAAAATTTTAAAAACTCTTCCTGAGTTGCATATCTCGCATATTTAGCAGACATGAAATTTTGAAGAAATTGTGCAACGCCAATTTGCAACGCCATACCTAAGAAAAAATGGATGTGTGTTTGTGTGTGTTTTGTGTGTCCGCATTTTTTCGTTCACGTTTTCGAGCGCACGGATGAACCGGTTTGAATGGTTTATTCAACATTCGGTTCCTATGTTTAAGGTGATATGCTGACTAGTATTTGGCAAAGGCAGGTCCAGCCGTTACGGAGATACGGAGTAAAGAGTGCAGAAAATAGAAATCGAATTTTTAAGAGAACGGAGTATCCCATATGAATGATCCAAAAAACATTCAATTTGTAATGATTGGGAGAAGTAGTGATTAGGTTTTGGCAAAGACATGTCCTGCCATTTCGAAGATACAGAGCTAAATGTACAAAAATGGCAGAGTTTGAGAGAACTAAGCATCCGATTTGAATGATTAAAAAAACTTGCTGTTTGTGTTGACAAAACAATTACTTTTGGGAAAGAAAAATATTTCAATTTTTTTTTTTTCAAAAAATTTTTCTTTGTATATCGAAAATAATTCAGATTTTAATTTTAATTCTGGCTAAATTTCTAAAGCTCACTTATATTCTTCGAATAAATAATTTTTTTAAATTTTGTAATTCAGCTTATATATATCTTATGAATATTATACAGTGTTACAGTATTTAGAATAATCTAATTGGAAACATTTAAAATTATTCGAAAATTTCGTCACGGTGCGGATTAGTAGGATTTTCATGAAAAATATATTTATTCATAATGAATATAGTTTTTACTTATTGTTTCCTTCAAACCATTTATTTCAGCCTTTTTCGTAATTTAGAAGTAACAAACAATGTTATGGCAGGTTATACAGAAATATGTTGCAAACAGATTCCAATTATAGGCTCTTTTAGTTAATTTTTTTGTGGGGTAATGAGAAGTTGCACAAAAACATTTTGGGGTAATGGTTCCAAAAGTTCCCCCACCACTGTTTTAGAGAAACAATTATATGTTGTGATTTTTCGATATTGATTTTGATATTAAATTTGAACATAAAGCTGTGTATGATATCGGTTACTAGCAATACATCACTAGATGGCGCAAAACAAGTTTTGTATAAGGTACGACACACAAGATTGTGTTAAAGGCACCGCATATGCTTCTTCTTAGAAATGATTCAAAATTAACGGGCTTGCATACATAATTATGACCATAGATAAACAAGTATAAATGTTATTATGACGATATTAAACTTGATTTGTAACAAATACCATTAATTACTCAAATTTATTTACATACACATATAACATTTGTTTCACGTAACACAACGCGTTGAGGGACTGACTTGATCAGGAGAAATTGATGATTGCGAAAATGCGAAAAACATTTTTTCATGCGCCCACGTTTTAGTGCGCACTTTGATGCCATGAAGACGGCATTGAATTAAGGCATTATACCAGATTCACTAGTAAAAGCGATTCTTACATCAGAGACTACTTGAAGCACTACCATCACATTTGCAAGAGAAGTTCTCATTTACTCACTGTTGTGATTTTAAAATCATCCCAGTAGATTTGCAATAATTCTTTTGAACTTACTCTCATTGTAGTAGATTTTTATCCATTTTCATAGGTATGTGCATGTACTCACTGTAGTATATTTGTACTCATTGTAGCAGATTTACATTAGTAGTAGTAAGCTTAGTTTCATTGTAATAAGTAATAAACTATTAAGATTGTAGTAGATTCGCATTCATTTGCGTAGTTTTACAATCATTATGATAGATTTACATTCTTGCAGTAAACACACACTCGCATCACAGTAGATTTACAGTCATTATAGTAGAATTGAACTCATACTTGTACATTCACAATCATTGTTGTAGTTTTGAACTCATTATAGTAGATTTACACTCACAAAACTTGTCCAACGCAAATTTGTACTCAATGTAGCAAACTTACATTCAATGTTGTAGGTGATGTATACTAATTATCGTAAATTTACATTCATCGTAAAGTAAACTTACACGCATTGGTAGTAGTTTACGCTCATTTACGTAGTTTTTTACTTACAATTAGTCGACTAAACCAGTTACGTAATCTTACGAATAAAAGATATTTACGAATGTATATATATATATATATATATATATATATATATATATATATATATATATATATATATATATATAAATTCGTACGTTACGTTTTTGAGGCGGAAATAGAAACGTCTGTGTGCCTCTTAGGTTACGTAACATCTGTTACGTTATATTAACGTTTTAATTGCGTTTGTGGTTTACTCATTTACTATATATATATATATATATATATATATATATATATATATATATAGGTTTAGTGGACTAGAAAAATGTTGGTCAGATCCGTATCGTTGTTCGTATGTCCCAAAAAAAAAAAATTGTTTGCCCCAGGAGACTGTGCTCCACCCTGTGCGGCGGAAACGTCGCCTGGATGAGCCGAGGTGTCCCCATAACGCTCGGTTTCTCGATTTTGAAAAATTCGTAGAACCAGACAGACAGACAGAAATAAAAATTTATTCAATATATACAGTGGAAAATACAGTGAATTACATGTGGGTTTGTCTACCCTCGGGTATTTTACCCAAAAGTTTATGGTTTTACAACATTGTCTATATATTTATATTTGTACAATATTTTATACATTATTACTCAAGGACAAAAAAAGGAGAAAAGTTTTAGTCTCCTACAAAAAAATCCTTCATACAGTGTTTTATAACTGATGTATTTACTGCGGGTTCGATCAGGTAGTTTGGCATGGCATAATTCCCGTACCAGATCATTTCTGATGTGTACTGGCCTAACGCGCGGATGGTACTGTTATCGTGATCCCTACACTTTCGGTAAAAATTCTCAGTGAGCTTTTTGATGTGTTCTAGCATGGTCGGTATGTCCGTCTGTTCGTGTAAATATTTCGTTAAATAGTAGTGTCTCGTCAGTGGGTCTCTTGATTTGTCTAGTACCAGTCTCAGTGCTTTGTTCTGTGCTATTTGAACCAATAAAAGGAATTTAATTATTAATTGTACAGGTAGTACTGCACAGCGTGCGTCATGAGTTGTAAAAAAACATTCGTTTTCATAATGTTTTTTAATTTTCGTAAAATTGAAAATAAAAGTTCGAAATTATTAATGCGAGAAGCTATTTTAACTCGCATTTGGAATTTTGTTTTCGGAAATTTTCTCATTCATAACATATTTCATATAAGCGTACTCGTTGTATATAACATTTTCAGATACTTGATGAGTAGTTGCAATTTTATTATTGAATAATTGTGAAGATTCCGGAACACAAGGTGGAAATCTGGGACTGTCCCGTCCAATTAGGGAGGTATGGTCACCTTTATTTATAATAAAATAAATCTAAAGTGTAATCATTTATGTTCAACAAAAAATTCAGAGCCAAATTGAAGTAATAAAATAAAATAAAACAAACCCACATTTAATTCAATATCTTTTAAATCTATAAAAACATCTCTGCCCAATTCCTTATCTATGTTTCAGCCTTTAATACAAAAAAACGAAGTTGTAATACAACAGCAATAAAACAAAACTTTGTCGTCACATCAAATCAAAGGCAACATATGAGCATTTATGTATTTTATTATACACAAAATATAAATAAAGTATCTTACAAATAAGTAGAACATTAACAAGAGTTGGTAATAGTATAATCAAATAAAAACAAAAACTAGTGGAGTGTGTGGCATCGTGCCTTAAGGCAAATTGCTGGAACGTCCCGTACCGTAACGAAATGTACAAAGAATATTGAATGTTTTGAAATAGATTATTATAAATATTGTAACATTGTCTAATATTTATAAGAATTATATAAACTGAATTGCAAAGTTGAAATTATTTGTTTAAAGTATATTAGAACTTTAGTCAGAATTAATAATAAAATCTGAATTATTTTCGATATACAAAAAAAAATTGTTAAAAAAAATTGAAAAAAAAATTTGAAACAAAATTTTTTTTCAAAATCAATTATTTTGTTAAAAACAAGCAGAAAGTTCATCATTTAAATCGGACGCTTAGTTCTCTCAAAAACTGCCATTTTTTGCAAATTTAGCTCTGTATCTCTGAAACCGCTGAACCTGCCTTTGCCGAAAACTAATAACCACTTCTCCCAACCATCACTAATTGAATGTTTTTTTTAGATCATTTAAATCGGATGCTCTGTTCTCTCAAATATTCGATTTCTATTTTCTGAACTCGTAGCTCTTTATTTCCATAACTACTGGACCTGTCTTTGCCAAAAACTAATCAGCACATCTCCCTATCAATAGGAACCGAATGTTTTTTGAACCATTCAAATCGGTTGATCCGTGCGCCCGAAAACGTGGACAAAAAATTGTATCCATACATACACGCACACACATCCATTTTTTCTGAGGTATGCCAAAATGTTCAAAAAAAAACCTGAAAACGTCGAGAACTGCAAAAATTATCATTTTCGATTTTTGGACGATTACATGTAAGTTAATTAAACGGGAAGTTTATTAAAATGAATTTCACATTATTATGAAAAATACAAAGCAAGCATTTTCAATATTCATTTTTATGAGTTCTCGAAAAGGTTTGTGAATTATTGCATGTAAAAATACATTCGCAAGTGATAGAACTATGTTCATGAATAACACTTACATTAAACAGAATTAAATATTTTCTATTAAAAGTTTAATAAAAATTGCTTAAAATGCCTAAATAAGGAAAAATATGATCTTATATTTGAAATGTAACAAATGTAATATCACTATGATTCAATCAACACTACAAAATAGTTGTAGTGACACATGCTTACAGCAATAACAATATATTACATAAACATTTAAACAAAGATTTAAAAAGGTTGAAATTAATTGATTAATATTAAAAATGACTATATACAAAATTTTAAATATCTCTAAAATCGAGGTAGCATTGAGTACCTCGGAGGTGTCTTCCAAACAGCACTAGATCTTCGATTTAATTTGTCTTTGCTAATTCCTGGGAATATAACTCTCAAATCCGGTGTGGTCGCTTTCACATTAAACAACAGATCTACTAATTTTGTTGACGTTCTTGCTTGATTTATAATTGCAGCTTGCCGTGCTTCAGCTGAAAAAATATAAATTTTTAATATGAAGATAAATATAATTACACTGTGGGAGTCGTAATGATTATGACAATATATTAAATTAGAAACTCCCAACAATAAAAAAAAATATAAATTTATTAACTGTAAAAATATTTCGATGTCAAAAATATACATGACATGTCCCATTGTTTTTTACAAATAAAAACCAGCCTGCTTGATATCGCCACACACTCCCTGCCCAGTGTTGATCTCACAGTTTAAAAAAAAAAAACACAGGGAAACACGTTATAAAAATGTGGTGGGAAAGCAGATTATAGCAGACCAGTGTTGTAATACTGGTTAATTACAAATTTCCATGTTTCGTCAGCAGATCCACCGTTTGTGGTGATTCGACCTGCCATCAACTCCATATTCTGCATAAGGTTCTGATTAAACTGCATAAGGTTCTGAAAAACATGTGGAAAATTTCCTGTACCTCGATGTCGGTGAACTTCTAAGATTCCGCCTCCATCTAATTGGTATTAGTTATATCAGAATTACTTAATGTTTAGAATGCATAATTTATGGGTACAGTTTCCATTTCTGCAAGCGTTGCATTCGTATCTGATGAGTTCCGATCAGAGAAAGAAGTTGGCTCTTTATCCAAATCAGGATCATTGGTTTCTTTGACATAAGAGTCCAGAATTGTGAAATCCAATAAATTATATCAAATTTTGTTTTGACTCGTCGTTGACACCGATAATGGGAGGTAGCATTATAAGACGATTTGTTGAGTTAACAGAGAAAGAGAGGTTGAATTGCATTCCAATGAAAAGTTCAGGCTCCAAATTATTTTTTCTGTCAGCAATAAACACTGAGGTCTGGGTATACCAAATGAGTAACCTCGGAAGTCTGATCCAGATAGTAAGTGCGTTAACTATGATGGATTGGACTGGACATACCTTATAGGTCGTCACTGAAGACCAGTGATTATGGTGCTGCGTCAAAATCAATTTTTCTTAAATCTTCGAAAAATAAAACTCCTTTATCTTCATCTCCATCGTCGTGAGTCACCAATGTGGGAGTCGTAATGATTATGACAATATATTAAATTAGAAACTCCCAACAATAAAAAAAAATATAAATTTATTAACTGTAAAAATATTTCGATATCAAAAATATACATGACATGTCCCATTGTTTTTTACAAATAAAAACCAGCCTGCTTGATATCGCCACAACACTAGCAAATCCGACGAACTCCGTTTCGCCACCAGATGGTTTCGTGAGAAAGATTAAGAAATTTGTTGTTTGTTTTATATTTGAAAAGGAAAACTTTGATTTTATTACACAACAGTAACGAATTTAATTTGATTACAAAAATGTATTGTTTTTTAGTTGGACTTCTCGAAGTAAATGACAGTGAATCCGCAAATTATCTGTTTCATTAAAGTGCTCTTTGGTAAACCACATTTTTTTGTTTTTTTGGTCTGACGTGAACACAAACAAAGCGGTTGGTTTTCCAACTCGTGAACAGGCAACATATAACTGCCCATGTGAAAAACAATGATTTTCTAATTAGACGTAGATTATTTAAATAATCTATTTGAAATTTATCCCGCAAACACTAAGCGATTGGCCTTGCAACTTGTTAATTGTCATTGCGAACTGAAAATTGCAATCGTTTGAAGTCAACCAAGCATAATTCTGATAATTCTCACTATGTCATTACTCGAATTTTTAATTACGGTGCGTGAAGTTCTAGCAATTTGCATTAAGGCACGATGCCATGCACCACTAATTTTCTCGGCTACAAACCTTGCGGAGCCCGAGACCTTTCCAACGAATGCAAAATTTTCGAAATCGGTTCGTGCGTCAGGAAGGAAAACCCGACTTATTTTTATATATATGTATATTACATATATTCTTTTTATAAAATAATAATCGAACAGTCAAAGTTAACAGAATTAACTACATTACTAAGCAATTATCAAGATTTTGAAAATTTGGGTAAATGCAAAAGTAATCAAAAGGTAATTTACGTTTGCTCCAATCAGGCCTCTGTTTATTATTCTTTGTTGGTTTTTCATCTTCGTCAGTGGAATAATCCGATTGAAGATTTTCAAAACCATCAGCCATACCTACTGCGGCAATGCTATAATCCAATACGCTTTCTTCTGGGTTCGGATGTACAAATGCAGCATCTGATTTCGCATTTGATTGAAGCTGTTGCTTAAAAAAAGTTGCTTAAATTTCAGATATTTTTGTTTCATTTCAATTTTTGCCACAACTGTTATTAACGATAACATCTAGTAACATTAGTAGATAATTTTGATTAAATTACAAAAGAAAATACAAGATAATTTTTCAACATGACGCCATCCATATTATGATAATGCAGTATAGGGTAAAAATTAACAACTCATAAGAAACTTATGAGTGCCTTAAGGCAATATTCTGGAACTTCCCATACCGTTATGAAAAGACGAAACATAAAATCTTATAAATTGGACGACTACGTTTATTTATGATTACATGAAAAGTAAATAAATAAAAATTAAGCGGAGTTACAGTAAAAAACCTTATATCATATTTCTAAGGATTATATAAAATAAATTGAAGAATGTTAAAATGATTTACAGTATTTATACACTGTAAATAAATTATTTACAGAATATAAATAGTCGCCCACGTAGTCGTGAGCTTTAAGATATTAGTTAGAATTAAAATTAGAATCCGAATAATTTTCGATATTTACAAATTTACCTTCCTCAAAACATAATACAAGTTTTCATTTTCGAATTCTAAAATGAATTTACTAAAATTTACTTTATGTAATTCAGTTGGTAAGATCAAAGGAAATTTTTGTTTTCAGTGTTTGGACGCGCTACTGATAAAACCCTCTGAGACAGTTGGGGCGGTCATCAAAAAGTTAAAATTTCAAATGAAAGTAACAATGTCTGATTTTATGAATACCTCTAATTTTCTTTGCTATTCTTGTTTCTGTTTCAATTTTTCAAGCCTTGCTGCCTCTTCTGCTTTTCTTCGCATTTCAGCTTCCTGCGCTCTTTGCTGCGCTTGCAATTTTTTCAATCGCATTTCTTCCTTGGCCTTTTCTTCTCTCTCTTGTATCAATTTTTGTTTCCTTTCCTTTTTTTTAGCAATTTTTTCTTGTTTTTCTCTCTCTTGTTGTTCTCTTGATTGTTGAGCTAATCTTTCCTTCTCTAGACGTTTGCTGAAAAAATAATATATATATATATATATATATATATATATATATATATATATATATATATTCAATAGATAAGTCAATACCCAAAACACAACATTAGTAACTAAAACTTTATTAGAAAACGGATATCCCCTCACCCTCATCAATTCCATTACCAATAAAAGACTTTCCTATCATAAAAGTAACAATTATCAATCCATCTCCAAGTTATTCCAAGACAACAATATTAAACCAACTTTTCACAGCATGCCTTACATTGAAGGCTTATTTGATTATTTTGCCAAATTACTCAAAGAAGAAAATATTTTCATTTCAGGAACAGCTCTATATTCTTTTAAAGAAATGTTTTCAAAAATTAAATCCACCACCCCTCCTAAATTCAATACTAACATAGTTTATTCCATCCCTTGCAAAAATTGTCAAAAACAATACATTGGCCAAACATCACAGTACATTCATAAGAGAATGAGACAACATGAATTAAGCGTCACTCATCATAAAAGCCGAAATTTCCAAAGTACTCTTGTTCAGCATTCCATCGAAAACTCACATAATTTCACCTTTGAACCCAATATTTTATATAGAGAGGATTGTACTTTTAAAAGACTTTTTTCTGAAAGCAGTTTAATCTTTTTGAATTCGTCAAAAAGTGTTAATAAAAGATCAGATCACAATATCATTCATGACTCATATTTAAATTTTTTAAACCTGATTAAAAATAATTAATCCTAATAGTTTTTGAATATGTGTATATATATACATGTATATATGTTATAATATATGTACATCCATATATATGCTTATATGTATGTTTTTGGGTATACACTATACACATACACTTGCATATGTGTTCATGTGTATAATTGTGGATACATTAATATATAGATATGTGCATATGTATGTATGAGTATGTAGGTGTGCATATACATGTTCATGTATGTATGTATATATATATATATATATATATATATACATAATATTTCTCAACATTTACTAAAGCAATATTTTTCCTTTTTTCGTAAATTACCAAACAAGAGCCATAAAAAATCATTTTTGCCAAGAGTTCCGTGCTTTGTCCTTTACATCTGGCAGACAGAAATCCATATCAGTGTGTTTAAGTCTTGTGTAGTCGTAACATCTACAAATATCTTCCAAAAAAATCGAGTGTTTTTAACAAAAAAATATTAGTGATATGGATATATAAATTATTACAGGTAAATAATTTTTGCTTCTCAATTTTATATAAAACCTTTTTTAGTTAAGTCTTATTACTATCTATCCGGTACATAATCCATTCCTTTATAACAAAATTTTTTTCTAATTAATCTGTATTGACCATTGTTAATTAATGTTAATCAGTATTTTAAAAAACATTGTATTTGACAGAATAAACCTGATGATGGAACGTACCTAGTTCCGAAACGTCGTATTAAACATCTTCAAAAAACAAATTGTTTTTTATTATTGGATTTACTGTTCGGAAAAGAAACAATCAATATATATATATATATATATATATATATATATATATATATATATATAAAAGCGGGTCGATTGGTATGAGTCAAAAAAGTCGCTTTGGCATATATGATTTTCGGATTCTAGTGATCAAAATAAGATACTATGCTGAAGAAACCCCTAAGATAAATTCTGATGTCCTAAATAAAAGTTGCAATTTAAAAAACTCCATTTTGATCCATTTAGAGTGCCCCAATCGCGTCCAAATGTATGACCTTGAACCCACCGTCATCAGAATTCATTTTAGAGGTATGGTTTCTTCAGCAAAGTATCTTATTTGGATTCCTAAAATTCGAAAATCATATGTACCTAAGTGACCTTCAAATCGACCTTATATATATTACCAAAGCATAATATTAGGGCAAAACAGGAATAAAAAACAAATTTCTTTCAAAAAATTATTTTACATCCATACGTTTCGGCTATAATCCAAGCTTTCATTCAGTGGAAACTACAAATAAAATTCAAAAACTAAAAATGGAAATACAAATTATAAAGAAAAAGTACTCTAATTAGTTAATCTTACAGTGTTAAAACAGAAAACTCAATAATCCATGGTATCAGGATATGGTAATGCACTACACGATGTAATGTAACCTATGAATTGTACCTCTATGTTAAGTATTATTAAAAACGCGAAACATCATTTGATTACGAAAAATAGAACCGACCGATCTTTTCCAAAAACCAATCAGCACGATTGGTTTCAAATAATTCAGAATGACTTGGAAGCACCAAGAACACAAAGTAAGCAAACCGGATTTTCTGGTGAAAACAGACTTTAACTTCAGAAAGTTAATAATTTACACAAACTTACCGTTTCCGCTCTTCCTGTTTTTCTAGGAGCAACTGCTCCTTTTTCTTCAAAGCTTTCTCTTTCCTAGCCTGCTTCTTCAAAAAATCATCTTTGGCAGATGACTTCGACTTTTGTGCGGGCTGCAATACGAGCTTGGTATTCTTAACAATTTTGTGAGTCGTATTTTTTGATGAATTGAATTTCTTTGCAGAGAGAGTAGCTATCTTAGAGACACTTGCTACTTTTATGGTAGATGTTAATTTTTGAGCAGATTGTATTTTTGTTGGTTTTGTATTTAAAGCATCTATATTTGAATGTAGCTGTAAATTTTCCTTATTCATACGGGATTTGGTCCGAGTAACCCTAGCCGAGGGCATTTTTTGTTTAGAGGCAATAACTTTCTCCAAAGCATGGACTCTTGATTTCACTTGCGACCTAAAAACAAATCAGTTGCAGAACTATTAATAACATGGAATAAAATCTCCTCTAATGTTATCATCGGCGATCTGTATATGCAAAATAATGAGTAGACATTGTTAATAATATAATACATGAAAAAGAAAACAAACATGATTTGATATTAGTAGATAAACCCAGTGTAGAATCTACTAACAATAAGAAGAAATTTCCAGGTATATTAGGAATATCTATCCAGTGTGGCAAATGTAAACAAAAACTAGTTGATCATGATCAACTTAATCAATAAAAGTCGAGATTTAGATAAAATATTCAACAGTCTATTTCAAAAATAAAGTTTTCTCTTAACTAAAAACGAATCAATGCTATTTTCAATTGATATCTTTTAAAAAAACTTATGAAATCTGGAATTGTAACTACATATTATATTGCACTAATATGCGCTTGTATGTTCTAAAAGCGCGGTGAAATTGTTATAATTCAACAACTTTTCGTAGATCTATAATACTTTTCACCATAATATTTTATTACCATACTAATTGCACCATGTTAAACTTCATTGAAAACGTTTTTTTATAATATTTAGTTACGAAGAAACAACCCAACCGATCATTACCAAAAACTAATCAGCACGATCCCCAAAATAAAATTTTTCGAAAAATTATTTTTTTAGAAAGAACAGTTAACTATAAAGAAACGGCTTGGCCGAATGTCGCAAAATTTAATAAACGCGAGTCCTTTGACAATTACGTCGAATGGCTTTTAAATTTTTGTGATCGGTGCAGCCGTTTTGGCAAAATCATCGATCCTGAATTCTAGGATGCGGGTCAATTTTTGTCCAGAACACATACCGAGTTTGGCAACATTAAAGGTTTGTTTATGGTTTACGTCTACATCTCGTGTCACATCTAATTCGCTATTAATGGTTTATAAACATCCCACATAGCACGCGTCAAACCGCTGTATAATATATAAACAAACGAAACGATATATTTCTTTTTATTGTATATCCGTTTTAGGAATAGTTTATATTCAAATATTATTTGATTGCAAACAAAATACAATAATAAAGGGCAAGAAACATAGGTGCTCCAACAAACAATTTCAATTGTGACACACAATTATTAATTAGTTTAGATTAGATTGTTTGATTTTGCTGTTTGATCAGCCATAGTGTAGTAGTAAAAAATATATTTTTTATTTTAAATTTCATTTTTCATTCCATTGTCTTGTGGTGCCTATAGATTGTGTGTACTTAATGCGAATATTTAAAAAAAAAATTCATTACCAAAATATGACACAATACAATTCCAATTGCACTCCAATTTTATTTATATGTATAGATATATATTTGAATGAAAGTCATAGAATAGAACGATATTTAAATACTGTTTAATTTCATGTGAAATATTAATACATATGTCATGTGAATTATATGGACATGGTAAGTATCCGATATACTCCTTGAAAAACGAATGCATTTAAGGGGCACCGAAAAAGATAGAACAAAACTTCTGATTGGGATCATTTGTTATTTAAAAAAAATGGAGAGGTTGCTAAATGCAAAATGTGCGCAAGAAAATAAAGTGTACAGGGGTAAACTACAAGCGGCCTTTAAACTCACTTTAAAACAATACGAAGACTAAATTATAAAAAAGTGGATCTCCCCATAACGTCATAACAAGTGTTCATAAACAGCCTAAATTGCTGATAATAAATTATAATAAAAATAGAATTAATCTTTTTTTTTATTTGGCACCAGTATAAATTAACAAGCGATATTTAGATTTTAGTTCGAGACTGAAAACCCTTTATCAAAGCTTTTATCAAATTTTGGGTTCAACAGATTCAGAAGGAATTGAAATGTCAAGAAAAAAAGCAAATAGGATTTTCTGGCAAACACTAACATCTTCTTCTAGAAGTTAATGGAAATATAAAACTATTATAACTATAAAAAGTATTAAAGTTTTTAGTATGACAATATAAAAAATAATGAAAATGTTTTTGCTTTAAATTATAATCAAGTAGCTCATTTTTACTTAGTGATCATTATCAATATCACTATTTGCATTTTTTTTATTTGAATATATTAGTTCTCAATCTCTTGTGTTCACAATCAACTCCCACAACAAAAAATTGAATTAGAGCTCATCAACATAAAAAAATAATATGCAAAAAGGATTACACACCTGGGCTCAGGAGCGTTTACTACATCTTTTATATGCATTTTAACTTTTATATCTTCCAACGGAGGTGATAAATTAAATAATTCATTTGGACTTTCTGCTGCAATAACTTGAGTAGTAACAGCGTCTTGATGAACAGATAACCCAGAATCGTTTTTGGGTAATTCTAAATATATTAATGAAGAGGTTTATTAAAAAAAATTATTGTTATGTATTATAATAAGTCAGAATATATACCTTTATCCTCTTATATATCTTACCTGCTGCAATAACTTGAGTAGTAACAGCGTCTTGATAAACAGATAACCCAGAATCGTTTTTGGGTAATTCTAAATACATTAATGAAGAGGTTTATTAAAAAAATTATTGTTATGTATTATAAAATCAATTTAGTCAGAATATATACCTTTATCCTCATTTATTTCTTGATGATCATTTATGGTAATAGTTTCATTGACAATATTTTCTATTGCATGTGTTTGATCATTTGCTTGAGCTTCCTCTTCAACTTCTTCTTTAATACTCATAAGCACTGATAATTTTTTAGCTTTAATTTTTCGAATTTTTTTCCTACCTAAATAAAAAATAAATCAAATAGTTGAATACATTTCCAGAGACACCATCAGTTTTAGACTAAAATATTTTTATTAGATGATATTATTATTATACATGTTATTATCTAAATAAGGTATTTTTCCTACATCATAAAACTAAAAGTAAATATTTCTACTTTAGTCAGAATATTACTTAGTCAGATTAGAGCTTGTTAAAAAGCTATCACTATTTATATCCTACCTCTTTTTTCTATTGCAGGAGCACGCATAGCCTCTTCATCTTCATCAGATGAAATGACAGTATTCTCAGAATTCTCTGGTCTTTCATTATTTAAAATTTGAACTGAAATATCCTATAAGTGAACACAAAATGTTAAATTAGAGATAATTCATTGATAATTTAGAGAAAATTTGCATGCATAATTGATAACATTAAAGCTAAATTCAATCAATCAATCAATCAATCAAAAATGTGTGACTCTAGTCTACATACCTGTGTGATATTAGAACAACTTTCTAAAATTGATGTTTTATTATCAGGTGGGTCATAAATATTACCCGTTACATCTTTATCATCAGGTCTTCTAAGTTTCGTAATTTTTAGATGTGCCTTTGAATAAATATTACTTTTAATTTAACAAAATATAATATTTTGATAAAATATAAATAACACAAATTAACAATTACTTGAGTGGAAATTTTATTTGAAGCACTTTTGGCAACATTTCTTCTTGGTCGCCCTACGGTAGAAACATCCTCTGTTTGTGGTGGTTTACATGCTTCCAAATTTTTCATAAACTCCTGTAGAAAAGGAAATATTTAAGCATTATATATATTAATTGTTTAATATGAACAAAACAGCACTCAGATTTGTTTGATCAGACACACCATGCTCTCGAAACGTCTGTAATCATAAAATAAAGTTGTGTTAAACAAATCTGAGTGCTGTTTTGTTCATATTAAACAATTAATATTCGTTCCACTCATATCATAAATATATACTCCAGAACTAAAAATGGATCAATCGTTTTTCAACACAGTTTACAATAAATATGGTTCAGAAGCCGTATACCATTGCAGACAAATAACATCAACTTTCAATGCATTAGCGAAGACCACTAACAAAAGGAATTTCTTAATTAAATGCAAGCACGAAAATGTTTTACCTAATTTTATCACCAACAATTTAACATTCAAAAATAAAATTTACAATAACATACAAAAACTAAATAACAGTCTATTGATCCTTCAGAATAAAATTTTGAAATATGAAATTGCAGACAGTGCAAAAGAAATCAATCGATTAAATAATAATTTAATAATATCCAGGACTCATTAGAAGAATTAGAATTCGATAAATTTATTTTTCTAGAACAAAAGAAATACCAAAAACTTTTTGATCAGATAAAGAACAAACAATGCAACAAACTTAAGAAACTAATAGAGCTAAGAGACAAAGCACATCCGATTATCAATACAGGTTTAGATTGGAACAAATGGGTTATAAACAAAACGGATACTCATATACCAGATAATATAAAATATATATTGGCTCTAGGTCCAAAGTTTTCAATCCAACAAAAAAATTTAACATTCAATGATTCAATTAAAGTTATTAGCAGCCTAGAAGCCGGCCTTAAATTAATCAAAGATCCAGAAGGAAAAGAAATCGAACGGATAAGATTTATGTTAATGAAACAATTTACAACATTTCAAAAAACTCACAAAAACAAAGTACAGTGCAAGAATGATACATCTTACATCTACCGGGACATCATAGCTACAAAAAAATTTCTTCAAGATAACAAACAATTATTAGTGTGTAAGGCAGATAAAGGAAACATTTCAGTGGTTTTGTTAAAAGAGGAATATGATAAAGAAGCAAAGAAAATTCTCAGTGATGAATCTCTATATGAAGAATTGGCATCGGATCCGAACAACTATCACCATAGACAAGTTTTTAAATTTATAAATTTATTAGAGAAAAAGGGACATATCAATAATACCATATCATTAAAGTTAAAAGTACAACATCCTTTAACCCCAAAATTCTATTGCCTTCCAAAGATCCATAAACCTAATTGCCCATTTAGACCAATTGTTTCCTACATTGATTCGCCATACTACTTTTTAGCAAAATATTTTTCAGATATTTTAAAGAATGTCACCATAGATTCTCCATACCGTTTAAATAACTCTTTCCAGTTAATAGAACATATAAAACATAAAGTAATTCCTCCTGATTGTTCCTTTATGAGTCTGGACGTCATTAATTTATTTAATAATCTTCCGCATTATCTAATTATTACAGCTATAAAGAAAAGATGGATGCAAATAGTTGAATTCACATGTTTACCGATGGAAATTTTTATTTCAGGAATAGAATTACTTTTAAAAGCATCATATTTCACTTTTAATAAAAAATATTATACGATGAAGAGAGGTTGTCCAATGGGCAGTCCATTAAGTCCTGTTTTGGCGGATTTAGTATTACAATATTTGGAAAATCATGTCTTAAATTCTTCACCTTCCAAACCTATGGTTTATTTCAGATATGTCGATGACACATTAATATTACTTAATAAAAAAGATATAGATAATGTTTTCAACAAATTCAATGAGTACAATTCTTTTTTACGATTCACTCAGGAACTTGAAAATGATTCGACGTTACATTTTCTTGACGTAAAACTCATTAATAGAGGCGGTGTATGTTATACAGACTGGTACAGAAAAGATAGTTGGTCCGGGAGATACATTAATTTTAATTCGCATGTTCCTCTCAATATAAAAATTTCTACCATTCTAAATCTTGTAGATCACGCTATTTTATTATCTGATCCTCTGTTTTATGATACAAACATAAAATTAGTTAAAACGATCCTACTTGGCAATAATTTTCCATATAAGTTAATTTGTCCAATTATTAAAAATAGAGTCGCAAAATTACTTGAACCTTTTGATAAGAAACCGGAAGAGCCTGGCAAAACAAGTGTTCCTGAAAAAACTTTTTTTATTAATTTTCCATATCTTGACAATAATTTTAACCAATTATCAAAAGGACTTTTCAAAAAACACAATATTCGTATTACTTTTTCTTCATTAAAACAATTAAAATTTTTATATTCCAAAATTAAAGATGAAACTCCATTAACAAAAAAGAAAGATATAGTTTATAAAGTAAATTGTTTGGATTGTAATTGCTCTTATATTGGCCAGACCTGCCAGAACTTAGAAAAGAGACTCAGGCAACATGAATTACAATGTGAAAAAATAGATAACAAAAAATTTAAAAGTACACTTGTGGATCATGCTAATATCAACAACCATAAGTTTGATTTTGACAATCCCCAAATTTTATTCCATGAGAAAGACTTATTTAAACGGAGCATGGCAGAATCAATGTTAATAGTTCGGACTAACAATAGCATAAATCTAAGAACCGACACAAATATTTTACATGACACTTATATAAACATCATTAATAATCTATAAATTTTTTCATTTATCTTATTCTTTTCAATAAATCAATTTGTTTTTTTCATTTTTATCGATTTTTGTATGCGATAGCACTCCTTTTGTTTACATTATAATGATACCCATTCTGTCTTCATCTAGATAAGTACTTCAAATTTGTTTAGAATATTTCTGTAAGTGTTATATGTTTCTTTAGTACTGTGTCAAGCATTGCAAGGAATAGTTGGTGTTTTTTGTATATCAAAAATTAAAGAAATTTAAATAAATTATTAAAGAATGTGTAGTATATAAGTAACTGTTTTTGAAATTACACTGAAGATGAGACACACCATGGTCTCGAAACGTCTGTAATCATAAAATAAAGTTGTGTTAAACAAATCTGAGTGCTGTTTTGTTCATATTAAACAATTAATATTCGTTCCACTCATATCATAAAATTCTATATTATATATATATTATATATATCTATATATATTATATATATATTATATATATATATATATATATATTATTCTGTAATCATAAATATAATTTATTATTTATTGTTTTTATTAAAGCACTACGTGCTATTTGAAGGTTATCCGAAGTTCTTCCGGCCTTGCTGTTAGATTTTGGAATCACGTTTTGTATTCAATTATTTAGTATATAAGAAGTAGTTAAGATTTAGTTAAACAGTCAGAAATCAGGAGTCAAGTCAGAAGTCAGGACTCAAGTCAGGCTTACTGTTTACATACTTAAAAAAATGTAGTCTCTGATCATCGATAACCAAAAGGTTATCGAACAAATTATTTAATTGTAAAAATAGTAAACAATAAAATATCAAGATCAACCAACAACCAGTGTTTTATATTATCAACCGCTCAGCTCCAGCTACCAAACAACCTCCCATCATCACAGGAGTGATACAAACAACCCCACAATTACAATTCATGGTGGCTTAGCGGAAATTTTCCCTCGCAGTGCTGAAGAATTTTCATCTGGAGACATCGAGTTAAATAGCCTCCACAACTTGGTGAACCGGAGGACCATTCGCAGCACAACTTGGGGGATGGTGGCGCCTACCGAAGAGAACAATTTTGGAACAACAACAGAGACTACGACAGGATTGGACATTGACTCATCGGATTCACAATAAGCAAATTGGACAACATCACTCTCGAGATGGAACCCATTTCTTCAGGATTTATGCAAGATGTTGAGTATAGTGAGGCAATAAGAGAAATCAGAATCAAGGCAGCTGTTGAAAGTATACCTCAATTTGATGGTAATTCATATAATCTCTTTAGATATATAAGCATAGTAGATTCAATTTTAGAAGACGTTAATTTTGAAACATATGAAATAATATCTAAAATTGTTCTTAGTAGATTATATGGATCAGCATTTAATTGCATAAAGTGGTCTGATTATAAGTTATAGGAAGATATTAAACCAATTTTAATCAAAAAATTTAAAGATCCCAGATCAATTTCAGATTTACATTATGAACTAGCCACAGTGAAAAGAAGAAATGAGGAATCAACGGAAAAATTTGCTGAGAGAATTGATGATCTGCTAATGTTAATTTATATTGAATGTTATTTTTCGAAAAAGGAAACAATTTATGCCTCATATTGCGATTTAGCTCTAGCTGTTTTCATTGAAGGCCTCCAGTTGGAAATAAAAACTATTGTTAAAGGAGCCAAACCAAAAAATCTTGAGGATGCTAAGAATATTGCCATCAGAGAGGGAAAGTACTTAAATATCACCTATGGCAAACAATATAACCGCTACGTTGTGTGTAGATATTGCAGGAAAAGAGGACACCACATTTCAAAATGTGAAAAAATTCGCCAAAAATCAATATATGAAGAAAAAACTAGTTTCAGACAAAATGGAATTTATGAAGATATTAACCAAGGCGAACACAACGATAGCTACGATGCTTTGAACTATGAAAATACTATGATTTTTAAAAATACAAGAAAATATGACGGCATAGACAACACATTCAAATCTACTGAAGAAGAATCCGAAGAATACACAGTCGAAAATCTGACTCAAAACACTGAAACCGAAGAATTGACGACAATTGCTGCAGAAATATTAGATGAAGATGAAGATGAAGAAAATTTGAACATACAAATGGCTGAATTTGAAGAAATCCAAGATGCGGTTCCAGAAATGGAAGAAATATACAACAAACAAGAAGATATCAAAATAATTAATGAAGAAGAAATAAAAACTGCTTCCAATGAAACAAAAAAGAAAAAGAAGAAGAAGAAGCATATTAAAAGAAGTCGTATTAACGACAAAATTATAGAAAAAAATATACAAGAGGTCAA